TGTTGCAGTTGTCGTCCTTATGTTGAGAACATCAATCAATATCATGACCGTGAAGACCCAGTAATGGTCGTCCCTTCAATAGTCAGTCATGATCAAGTGATAAAGCGAGACAGTCACGATCGCAGAAACGATCGTCCTCTCGCTGTTCAGGATCAGGTAATTTTCAGTCTTCATCATTCTAACTTTCAAACTGGGCATTCAATACGTTCATGCTTCGGTTTGAAGGGGAGAATAGGGAATCAACACATGTAGGTCGACTAGTTCAGTAATCAAGTCGACCGTGTGTATCTATCAATCATGTTGCTCGGGGAAGCACAGTCAGCAGTGCAGGTAGAAGTCTCCAAAGTTAGCAACACAGTCATCAGTCTTCAATCTCATCCAAGACGTCAAGGAATTCCGCCATGCTGAGTTCATTGTCAAAGAACTAGGTCAAGTATGGAGTAGGATCAGTCTCATCCACAACGTCTAGGAGTTTCACCATGCTGAGTTCACTGTCAAAGGAATTGGGTCAAGCATGGAGTAGTTTCATCATTTGTCTACCCCTCCCGCAAGCGAACAAAGTCACAGCCAGTTGGATCGTCATTGCCAGCAAGAGGTTGTTTGAGTGTTGTTCAGTTCCAAGCTCGACATTCTTGTCATTCATGTCTTCGCTTGAGGGGGAGTGTTGAGGATATTAATTACTTAGTCAAAAAGTAATTAATTCCTTGTCCTACAAGTCCCTAGTTTTCCGTGTTCAAGTAAAAGAAGGAAACTTGGTTGTCCTTAGGGTTTTAACCCTACGTCTATTTCTATATAAGCTTAGCTACGAACATGTCGTAAGCAAGCCGTCAAGATGTAGTCGTATAATAAAACATCAGTCGTGAGCTCGTTCCGAGCTCACCGTGGATTAGTCTCGATCAATCAATCGAGGATACCACGTAAAATCTTGTGTTTTATGTTCTTTCGTTCTTCCGCATCATCAAATTCTACAACGCCAATGTGATATTTTCTCCCCTCTCTTATTTGCTTTATCAACGAAAGGACATTTTGCTCTTCTGAAGCATCTAGAGATGACAAAAGGATTGCATTCGCAGATTTGGATCAAGTGGATAGGTGGATTCATGAATTTGATAAAAATGGATTGAATTTATAAGTACGAGTGACATCTAAGCAAATTTCGAAAAGTTTAGGTACTAAAATGTCATAATAAAAAAATTTGGTATCAAAACATAAAATTTTAATAATATTCTACGTTATAAAGTTAAAATTTAAGTATGAAATATAACATATAAAAAGTTTAGGTACTAAACAGTAAATTTTCAACAATCCATGAATCCATCAATCTAATTGGATGAAATAGATTGGATTTAATTGGATGATGGGAAATCGAGTAATTCATGGTCTACGAATGCCGCACCAATGTTCAGTGGTCTCCCATTTTTATTTTTTTATTACTCATATTGGATTTTAGGGCTTCTATGAGGGATTATGGTAATATTCACCATTTGTTGCGTGAATATAATAGTATGAGTGGCCAGCGGATAAATCTGGGTAAGTCGTTAGTGCTTTTCAATCATATCACGACTGCACCCAAAAAAAAAGCATGGGAACCTTGTTGGGAGTGGGGGCTATAGGGGTTCAGTATCGTTATTTGGGTTTGCCATTACTAGTCAGGAGTTCCAAGCGTATACTTTCCGATTTGTGGAAGAGGAGCTTATCAATAAGCTACAAGGTTGGAAGAATCAGGCCCCGTTTGCCTACAATAAAGGAGACTTACTCAAGTCGATGGTTGGTTCTCTTCCACTCATGTTATGAGTTGCTTTCTGCTGTGATTAAATTGATGAAGGAAACTAAATTCCCACATGGCTAGGTTATGGTGGGGGAAGACCCAAGATAAACATTGTATTCACTAGATACTTCATAGACTCTTTAGATGAGCAATTTTGATGGTGGGCTAGGGTTCAGGGCCTTCGTAGCTTTCAATCAAGCAAATAAGAAATCTTAGCTAAGATTAGCTGGCTGATTCTTCAAGGTCCTTCTTAGGTTTTGGATCAATCGTACAGAGGATGATACTATGTAGTTTGCACAATCAAACTCTATCTGTAACACCCAGTATTTACAGTTACGTGAAATCCCGATCCCCTTCATTTATTATAATTATGGTAGTTAACTAATTATAATTATAATAAATTAATTATATATATATATATATATGGGGAGTTCTACGGTACCCAGAGTGAAATTCGGGGTACCGCATACCTTGAGTAAGAAAACGCTATCCAGAACTTGAATTGACTGATCTTTCGGACATGATACTATACTCTAACCCTTAAAGATCAAAATATATATATATAAAGGGGCCGAGCGGCCCCCTCAATTTCCCACCCCACGCACCCCCTACTGTAAACTCCTGCAGCGTCGTTCGTCCTCGCAAGCGTACAACGCAACTACCTCTTCCGCTCTCCCCGCTTCACTCGATCAGTCGGGTGACGAGGCTCTTGCCGCCATCAACGATTGCTATCATTCGAAAAAGGTAAGGACAAAAATTCCAAGTCGTTCCAAGTTTGTTTGATCAATAAAACTAAAGCGACCTCGTCAATCGTGGACTGTAGCTTGACGACAAGGAATCATAGTTTAATCGGTACCAATCAAGGCAAATCGATTTCCAAAGTCTTTGAATATGAGCCTAGGCACGTTCTAGAAGTAATGGAACTCGACCGCTTTGAGGTAAATTGATTTTTTCGTGTGATTTTTCATGAAGGCGTAGTTTTGGAAAATTAGGACAGTTTAACAGAATATTAGTGACATTTTTTGGTTGGTCACTAAAGTTGCAGGTAATTTCAAGAAACGTTATTTAAGTTCTTTAAATTGTTTCGAGCCTCTGCATGAGCTTGTTTCTGCATTTAAAAAATTCTTAAATTGAAAGAGGTCCTTGAGGTGCTTGTGATTTAATTTGCGGATTTTTTAAGTTGATTTACTATTTTTAGAAATTTTTCGAAGGTTGATTTCAATTAAATAATTATGTCGAGGTGTTTTTGAAAGATTTGATATTTTTCCCAGGAGGCTAGTCCTCATGGTTGACCTTGGAAAATTATGGTCTGGATTTCTAGGGAGGTTTAAGTTGGATTAAAAATTCATTCACGACTAATTTAATTAGAGGGATAGTTAAATAACTATACAAGAAATAGTTATTTCTTATGCATGAAAGGAACTTATTACGGAAGCCTTCCTTAATGTAAGATTGAATGAAAATTTTACTATTAACTAAACGGTTGATCATCTCGTTTCATAGCAGTTTAAGCCCGAGAGTTGCAACTGCAAACTCCTCCTCCAAGTACCAGCTGTTTAACCAGGACAGTAACAACTCAATGTAACTATCTACTATAGTATGCAAAAATAAATACTATCTCTGCTTCATTCCAGCTCCAGGGTTTGGCTGCCATTATCCACTTTACTTCCTCTTCAATCCGCCCAACAACCTATTGGGGGAACGTATTACAACATTGTGACTTCTGCAGCATCGCTCACGCCACACATAGCTAATGCAAATGGACCATCTGAACCTTCCTTCCCCTGCTATCAATGTGCTACTGGACCACTACCTCACTGCCCAGCTCAAATGCTCTGACCATGTAGTGAAAACAGGGAGGTGGCAGGATCTGCTCAGCACTTTAGACAATAGCTGATGTAAGGGCATCTAGAAAAGAGGTGAATTTTAAAATACATTACGTAAAAGTTATGGAAGAATAGTTATTTCTTAATTGTGTGTTTTTTATTTGTCAATTAAACAAAGATAATACACGAGTCTTACCTAATGATTAAAATACATAAAGATTATAGAAGAATTATTTCTTATGTATCAACTAAACCGACGTATTATGTAAGTCTTCCGTAATGATTAAGACATTGCATGGAGCTTATGGACGGATAGTTATTTCTTATGTGTCACAAACAAACACTTGAAGTATGTTTTTCTTAATGATTAAGAAGCTACCTAAGTATCTTACCCCAATAATTTTATGAATTATTTGATTCTACTAAATTGTTAAATAAGTGAATGACGTTATAATATAATTAGTTTCTTACCACTGCAAATCGCGGGTCAAAACACTAGTATGGCATTATGAGGTACCAGGTGTTTTCACCTTTAAATTGGCATATACAACGTCGCTTTGGCACCTAAGGAGGGATGGAGTGAGGGCACGAGTGAGCTCTGCAGATTCGGCTCTATTGAAGAGAACATGGAGTTTTCAGCTTCAACCAAAGGCCAAATTCTTTCTGTGGCATTTTCTGAACCGAATTCTGCGTACTATTGAATCTCTAGTAAGTCGAGTTTTAGAAATTCCTTACCTTTTGTCTGGCGTGTTTATGTTACATACATACGTTTCTAATAATATCAATATTATTATTACTGGATGTAGGGGATTAGCGGCTAATTGTGGATAGAGTTGCATTAGGGTCATTATTAGGGTTTTGGGATTTTCTATATAAATGTACTTTGGTGCATTACATCATAATTAATTAAAAATCAATAGACAAAACCCTATTCAGTTTATCTCTCTCATCCTTCTTCTCCCAACTCTTCTAAATCAGTTTATCTCTCTCATCCTTCTTCTCCCAACTCTTCTAAATCGCTAATCCCCAATTATGTTCTCCACTTCCCAATTCTCAATTCTCCTTCTCAAATTCCTAATTCACTTTCTAATATATCCGGTTATGTTAATCACAAGCATTTGAGAAAGCGTGTTTCTTACTGTTTACTTGAAAGAGAATAAGAGGAACACTTGTTCTTTCATTGTCCGGTGAGAAAATGAATGTGGGAGTTCGTTGGTTTACAACATTACTTATCATCTCCTATATCATATTTTCTGCCCTCTTCTTGAGACGGGTCCTCTCCCTACCTCCGTCTCCAGAAACAGACTATGTACCCGCTCAAAGAGAAACCAGGGAGATCCAAGTCATACTTCAGATTAGAACAGCCAATAAAACATTCTCTGCACATCAATCCATTCACACCCTTGTCAAAAAAAAAAAATTCATTCACCCCCACAACAAAGAAATGATAGTACAAGCTCGGCGCTACTCAACAACAGCCTGGTATAATTACAGGAGAAACCAACAAACACAAATTTGCGCACCACAAATGCCGTTTTTAGCACTTTACACTTGAAAATTTTTCCTTTGATCAATTAACAAACACTGCCAATCCCGTATAACCAACACAAACCCCTGGTCAAAAGGGGTGTCGTGTTCATTTGATTAGCATGGGAAAAAACACACCTTAACCCGCAACTCTCATGGTCTAGGGGAAATGGATGTGGTTTTCATACATTAGTAATGCATAAAATTAGCCGTCACCTTTTGGATTTCGTGTCTATGGCTCGAAGCTTTGGCGACGATTGTGATCCACCGCCGCTGCTGCCACCGCCACCTCCAAGTGCAGCAGCGGCAGATTCGACGTGCGTGAGAAGGTACTCGTAGATCTTCTTCCTCAGCCGATCAACGGTCTCGGAAGAAACACTCGGTCGAGTCTCGTCGTCTTCATCCTTGCTCGCCCCAATCCCGTCTAACCATTCATTGACACTCTTCAGCTGAGTCAACATCCCAGCTATTTGACCGTTATCCGACAGCACTGACGTGTCAACGTCTGCGTCCAAGAACCTTTCCACAAACCCCAAGAACCAACTCTGGGAATCCACCCGCAACACTTCGGCCAAGTCCATCGCCTCGTCGAGTCCTCCCCCCCTGCTCCATTCTGGTGGTGGTTGCAGGGGCTGCGCCTTTTCACTAGCAGCAGAAGAATCCAACTGTTTGCGGAAAGCACCTGTGGCTACTAGCTTCGAGCCAACCACTGGACGGATTTTGGGTTCAGGTCTCGTAGCACCATTCTTTGAAAGGGGTTCGAGAACAAGCACATGCTGGTTACTTCCAGCAGAGGCTTTTTGGTCCTTGGTGAATACGGCAAAGGATGATAAATTGGTGGCTAATGCTGCTTGGACCCAAATGGATGCGTGCTTACGTCGATCTGATGTAATCTTCTGTATTTCTTCGGGGAGATTTTCATTCATTGATCCAGGGGGGAGCATTTTGGATAGAGAATCAGCCACTGTACGAGCATTGTTCAAACTTGAATGGAGAGCCAAGAAAAGCTCAACAGCAGGTTGAGGGTTATCTTCTTTGGCTGACAAAGTTAGCTCAGAGTAAATCCTACAACAAGAAGAAAGCATCATCTGACTGTTACATACTTTGTTATATTACAACGTAATAGTTTTGATCTGGTTGTTGTTTTACCTAAGACATCGAAGCAAGCTCTCTGCAGCACAAGCCTCCTGCATTGCCTCTATTGCTGCTGTCTGTGCAGCATCTCTATGCCTCATAACTTCCTGAGACAATAAGCGTTTGGAAGATGAATAAATAGGGCAGTTAGCACATTAACTAGTTTTCATGAGAAAACTGAAAATTCTCTACCTTCCCAAGCTTAGCAAGAGAAGAAGGAAGAGAAGTCCATGAAACACTCCCTTCAGTCATCCTTTTACTATGTATTGGAATTTTGACAAAGTTCCCTGGAAGCCCATTATTAGCCAGTTCTCCAGAAGATTTTCTTCCAACAGACAGCCTAGGCTTATTCATCGTTTCTTGATCATCAGTAATCCCAGAAAAAGCAGCTCTCTTAACAGATACTGGACCTTTGTTCTCTTCTTTAAACGAATTCGTAAAGCCCCTACTATCTTCTCTAGGAAGTGAACGCTCACTGGACGTACTTTTCCTTGGAACCTGCAAATATACAATAGGATTTAAACGGGGAAGCGCAACATTTAAGTTCAAAGAAGTTTAGAACATCCCAAACGAGGGAGGAAACATGGTACCACTGATAAGAGTAAAAGCCAGAATAAATTAAGAACTTCCAGAAAACTCACCCACGTTAGTGATGATGCAGTGATATTCGAGTTGCATTGTCAAATTCATTATAATTAATCTAAGGAAACTCTTGGCGTGGCAAAATAAGTATAAACAACAGAGAATAACATGACTTAATTTGCATACTAAAAAGATCAGAAATCACAGACAGTGCATTGCATTATCCTTGGGCACGTGTTTAGTTTCAAACTAAACCCAGCATCTGTAATACGAAATGCTAAAGCCAGTAAAAAAGTGATGATACTCACAGAAGTACTCCGAACTTCAGGTTTTGGATCCAGTTTAGAAGGCAGCAACTTTGTGGAATCCCTCTTCTTTACTTCCATGCTTCCTTCCCAGCTCCTTCTCAGAGCCTTTGCTCCCAGCTCAATACCCTGAACTATGTTCTTGATCACAGGAACTCTTCTAGTAGGAGTTAATCCATTAGCAGAAGCCGCTCTTTCTGTTAGTCCTATCCTAGGCGAACCCTTATCGAACCCCTTAATTTTAGACTGTTGCTTCACCCCACTTGAAAACTTCTCAAATGATGTAGGCAACGAGTAACAGCTACTTGGAGAAGAAGGAATAGATCTTGAACTAGAAGGCTTCAACTTTTGTAGAGATTCCTTCTTCAATTCTAGGTTCGAATGAAGTTTTGACAACTGAGACTTAGACCTCGCTAGAGAGGAGGTTTTCTTAGAGCGTAAATCATCTTTGCTACCACTGCTACTCAGCCCTCTGGGCGTTGATTTCACCTTCCCCTCCCCATTACTACTGCCTGAACCCACTTTTTTCAATGTCTTTGCACTGTTGGAATGCTTCGAACCAGAACTTGGATCATGATTATTATTGAGGAAGCTGAGTGAATCAGTTGCCACAATATCCTCGGGGCTACCAACACAAGCATGCCTCCCTGGGATTGGCTTAACTCCTCTAAGTATTGGGACTGGTGAGGCAGCTTCGAGCCTCTCAATATGAATAAATTGTCCTAATTGGATCTTATCGCTCAAAATGAGATCATCATGCTCCTCCGGTAAAGAGACGTAAGTTGCATGGGAAGAATCAGACACTTTGAGATAAAAACCCTGATTAGGGAATAGCTCACTGCCCGCTAATGCTGGCACAATGCTCACCACTTGCAGTAACGATGATCTATGCTCACCTGCAACTTTGACATCTGTATTCATGTGTTGCAAGAGCTTGAGCAGAACCCCTGGGGTAAGATTCGCCATTTGCAGAGGGATTTTCTATTTGCATTACTTTCCGGACACACCCCCTAAGAATAAGGAAACAGGGCGCCTGCTTCCTACTCAGAACATCCAAACAGTAGATAACAAATACCTCTCTTGGTGATCACGAGCAAACCTTTCAATCCTGCAGTTGAAACCATCACAAATTTGTGAATTACAGAATCAATATGACTGGAATACCAAACAACTCATCTGCCATTTGGGAGCGGAAATCATCTGAGCTACTCTTACGCTCTCATTCTTGAAAGAAAGAAAGAAAGAAAGAAAGAAAGAAAGGATACACCACCTCTTCCTGACTTCATGGACACATAAGAGTCAGCATTGAAGCGTCATAAGTCATCATATCTAAAACAAGCATGGCATATCACCGGGGAGACACATCGACTCACGCCAGTAAACCACAAAACACCAAAGCCCTATTAGAGCATGTAGCTTATAGAGGACTATTAAAAAAAACTTGTTTCACCCTTCTAATAATACAAATACCATACACCCATCTTGACCTAAAATCTCAACCCTAACCCAAATAACGAGTATTGATGATCATTAAGGGCTCATAGCACACATGTATTCTGAAAAAGCAGCAAAACCCAATAGATGGCATGGCATCATTGGTCAGGAAAGCAATCAGCATCATACGTTGCAGTCCTCAAGGGTATTCCTTCAACTTCAAACCCAGTTGTTAATCCCCGCTGACACTTCCTCTCCACGAAACACAAAAGCGTTCTCCTTTCCGCGCAACCACACTCAATGAAAGCAAAGCAAAGAACCCACAAATGCAGATTTCAACGTAAAGGAAAAGCATGACTCCAACCAACCTGCTCCGCTGAAGCCTCCTTCAGCCTCGGGCCCTAAACTTGGCCAGCGAAACCGCAGACTGTGGACAAGCTGAAAAGATGGGGTAACCGAGTTCCTTCCAGCTCAACTCTCCTCCAATCAAATACCCCCAGCCGAAAATGACACAGCAACAAGCTCCATTTCGCTATGAACCAGCCCGCTCCCCGGGTAGAGAAAACGGGCAAAGAGTCGTATTTTGTGAATCCAGAAAAGGGGAAAGGAAATAGGAAAAGGGTCTCTAATAACTGAAGCAACGGGGGCGGCCTGGGAAGATGGTATGTGCAGCGCAACAGCCAATAGCTGCTGAAAAGGACCCAACAGGAAGCACGAGGCGGAGAGAGAAAAAAAATACAGAGGAAGGGCAAGAAGAAGAAGAAGAAGAAGAAGAAGAAGAAGAAGAAACGGGTCGGATCCAGCTGGGGGCGGGTTTCCTCGGCGAGGGCTTTGATCTCGAACGGAATGAATGATTTGTTGCGGGGTGTGGTGAGCTGGACTGGAGAGGCGAGTGGCGCATGTGCAGAGAGCAATGCGGTTGTTAGGAAGGAAGAAGAGACGGAGAGAGAGAGAGAGAGGAGAGGCAGAGAGTTGGAGTTGTCGGCTACCTGAAAAGAGACTTCACTCACATCTCTCTCCATGATTCCTTACATTTCCTTGTATTTTCAACCCACCTCTCCACCCGTCCACCGGTACTCGTACTCTCGGGGAAAGAAAAAAAACCACAAAAATTCTTTATTATTTCAAAAAAGAAATTGAATTTAACATTCAACTAAACCGAAAAAAAAAAAAATTTGAATTCAACAAATATGAACTCGGGAAAAAACAAACAGTAGGGTTGTGATCTGTTATTGTCGCTTGTCATTACACCTGGACGATAAGTGGGACGAGTTAGCCAATCACTTCACTAAAAAAAATTCATGAAAAAGATAAAATAGACCTATATTAATGTCTATTCTTTATTTAAATCTTTTTCAAATTTTTTATATTATCTAAATCTACTAAAATGTTATTAATTAGCCAAATCTTTCGTATGGTATCAAAATATTGGCTAAATTACACGTTTGATCACTCAAATTATACAAATCTTTCACATTTGCCACTCGAATTGCTTTTCTTTCTTATTCGCCACTAACATTACGAATCGTTTCACGTTAGTCACCGGCCGTTACACTCCGTTAAATTTATCCTACGTGGCAGTCAACTATAAAGTTTGACTGTTAACTCGATGACGTGGAAATTAAAAAATGAAAAAAAATATTTTCCACCTCATCATTTCACTTAATTTGTCTGATTTATTATATGAATTATTTAATAAAAAACAAATTATAAAAATTACTTATCACCGCCTGGTCCATGTTCTCAGGGTTATTGACGGTCGGTACGACGATAATGAGTTTCAGCAACGTCATCCGTTCTCGTCGACAAAAATATTGCCTAAACTTACGCGTTACGACGATGAGGACAAAAGCAATCGAGACGACAAATTGGTACCAGTCTCTGCCACGGCGGCTTTTCATCTTCTGCTAGGACACTTCTTGCATTTCGCCGGCTAAAGAATCAATTACTCGCTCCATTTCCACAATGCCTTCCCCGATGTCGCGAAACTCTAACGCTTCGTCGCCAATCGATTCGAGGAGTGGATTCTGCCCGAAAACAAAGATCTATCAGTGTCTCAGATCTCCAGCACCACTTCCACAAGCAACCACACCGCTCTCCGTCACTAATTACGTATTCTCTCTTATCAATTCCTTCCCCCTGCCACCGACAATCTTAGCTCTCCTAGACGACATCACTTGCAACCGGAATATTTCCAAGACAACAGAAGAAGGCAACTTCTAGGAAGGGAACCAAAGGAAGGCAATTCAAGGTCAAAAGTCGTCAAAAAGACAGACAACGAAAAAGAAAGAAAGAAACGGGACCGGAAGAAGAAAATACAGAGCGCGGCGGAAACAGAGAGCGAGCAGAAAGAAAACAGAGGCGATTTCTCTCATTTTTCATGGCGTTGTATCGATTTCGGGATCATGTACGTGATTCCTCTCCAAATCGTCAAGTTTCTTTCTTTTTTGACCGCCACCGGCGGCAGGAGAAACTACGGCCTCTTCGAATCAAGGATCCTCGTCGTCCTCGGCGGTGAGTCCCGAGGTAGAATCAGAAACGAATCTGTCTCGTGTAAACCGTGGGTTGGGTATTGATTTGAATAGGGAATTCAATCCTTACTTATTAGGCGGTGGGGGAAAGGTAAACGAGGCGGTGAGTGCTGGTAGTGGTGATTCAACGGTGGTTGTTGATCGGAAGAGCTCTGAGGGTGAGTTTGATCCAATTAGCAATAAGGACGGCGACGACGGTGATTTTTCTCCGCCAGTAGAGGCTCTGAAAGCTTTGAATCTGTGAATCAACGAAAGCAGAGGGATCGGCATTAACAGAATTGGTGACGAAGACGGCGACAAAAAAGGAGGTGGGGAGGAAGGGAAAGAACTACAAAACGACAGTCGGCTTACGGTCCTGATTAAAGCTGCGGAGCTTGCTTCCGGTGACGATTGTTGTCGTCGACCAGTTGGGATCCGAACGAGATGCCGACGACTGCCGCTGAGGAGACTAAGGACGAGTTAGAGCCTCATTCGCCGTCGATTATGGGAAGCGGCGGTGGACGAATTGCGTTGCGGGGGACAAAGAGGAATAGAAGGAACAAGTGTTGGGTGGTGGATTTGTACAGGGACAAGAATGAGATGAGGACGGAGGCGGCAGCCGGCAGTGGCGGGATCGAAATCGAAGAGAGGGAGGAGCAGCCAGGCGCTTCCGTCGAGGTATCGAGATGCTTCCGTGCGTTTAACAAACTAAGTGGGGTGATGAGGTGGAAAAATAAATTTAATTTTTTTTATTTTTTAATTTCCACGTCATCGAGTTAACGGTCAAACTTTATAGTTGACTGCCACGTAGGATAAATTTAACGGAGTGTAACGGCCGGTGACTAATGTGAAACGATTGTTAAAGTTAGTGGCGAATAAGAAAGAAAAGCAATACGAGTGGTAAATGTGAAAGATTTGTATAATTTGAGTGACCAAACGTGTAATTTAGCCCAAAATATTAGTCATTTTACATTATCATTAATAATTTTGTAACTCTTTTTTAGTTAAAATGCTAAAATTTTAGATTGTTGACTTTCATGTGTCTCTTTCAAGTCAGTATCATATTGCCAAGTCAGTATTACTAACAAACTGCTAACTGAAAGTTAACATTTGGCTCATTCTTAGTATTTCGATAGATTTGGCTAGTAAAAAAGAATCTAAAAAAGGTTTGACAATATGGGTTCACCTTTCGAATGTTTCTCTAGAATACCACTTCCAGGGGCTGAGCAGAATTGCCAGTTGGGTGGGAGTTCCTCTGGGAATGGACCAAACTACTCGCATGGGGAATAGGCATGGTTTTGCAAAGGTTTTAGTGGAGCTTACTGCGGAGAGTGACTGTCCAGATCATGTGTTAGTTTGGCCGGATGATGAGTCTTCTATTCGTATTGGGGTCTCATACTGCAACCTACCTCCTGTTTGTTCTGTATGCAAGCTTTTTGGGGTTTCTGGTTCGTGTGCAGCTCATCAGGGGAAGCAGTGGGTTGCAAAAACACAAAAAGATCAGGCATAGGGCTCTCTGGCTCAACCCGTGGGTTCGGAATCAGTGGTTATTCGGAATGTGGTAGAGGACAAATCTGTGGCAAGTAAGGGTAAGGAAGTGTTGGTTACTGAGGATGATCCTCAGTTGCATACTATCTTTGCAAGTCCTTCAGTTATAGAGGGAGTGAGGATTGCTCCACAGAACTTGGAGAAATCTTTCTTGGCGGTTGCTGGGTCACCATCTCCCAAGCTGCCTTCAGAGGATGAATTTCAAAGAGTGGTAAATGGGGTAAGGCCTCGGGTCTGGTTATCTCCTGACAGTGCCAAAAATTCTATTCAAGCTACAACTTCTTCTTTCAGTGTGCTGAGTAAGTTGGAGGATAAAGAAGCTAGCAGGGTTCTGAAAGCTCCAAAGAAGAAGGACGTTAGAAAGGATCAGTGGAAGGGAGGAGGGGGGAAACCTCCAACTTCTAAATGAAAGTACTTTTCTGAAATGTAAGGGGGTTTAATAAAACCTCCAAATAAAGGGACTTGATGCAAGTCCTTTGTAGGAATAAGGTGGATATAGTGGTAGTTTTGGAAACTCGAATAAGGGCAGAAAAAACTAAAGAGGCGATTGAGGAGGTGTTTTCTGGATGGGAGAGGTGTATTGACTGTATTGATTCTAAGCTTGGTAGGGTTTGGCTTTTCTGGGTTCCTGAGATAAAGTTGCAAGTGCTGAAGCCAGGGAAGAACTTCTTTCACTGCTTGGTGGAGGACCCGAATAAGGATAGCTTCTTTTTAACTGCAGTTTATGCTTCAAATGACGAAGTAGAGCGTCTAACTACTTACAAAGAGTTAGCCAAACTGAAGGTTGCTGGGCACCCATGGATTGTAGGAGGAGACTTTAATACAGTGCGAGTACCAGAGGAGACTTCAAATCAGATAAGTTCCAATACAAGTATGGATGACTTTAATAGTTGGATTGGGGAGATGGAACTGCTTGATTACAGGACCACTGGTCCTCAATTCACATGGACAAATAGACAAGTCAATAGCCCAATTGCTCGGAAACTTGATAGAGCCTTAGTAAATTTGGACTAGATTGAAAAGTTTAAAGACTGTGTTATGGAAGTGTTACCTGCTCATTTCTCGGATCATGGTGGGGTGCAAGTTAGTACCATGGTCCAATTAAATCCATTCCAAAGCCCTTTAAATATTTTGAATTCTAGGATGAGCACCCGCTGTTTCTGGAGATTGTTGAGAATGCTTGGAAGGTAGAAGTGTCTGGGAATCCGTTGCAGATAATTCAAGGGAAACTGAAAGAGGTTAAAAAAGCATTAAGGAAGTTCAACAAGGAAGTGTATGGGAATCTTCAAGACCAAGTAAAAGAAGCGGATGCTGTATTGCACAGGGCACACACTGTTGCCTTCTCAAACCCTACATCTGAAAACTTTGAAGCTGTTACACACGCTACAGAGCAGTATGAACAAATATCAAGAGCCTATGAGAGCTTTTGTCGGCAAAAATCTAGAGTATCCTGGTTGACTATGGGGGATAAGAGTTCCAATTTCTTTCATCAAGCTGTTAAAATACGCAATTCTAAAAGGGCCATCAGAAAGCTTGTAAAAGACACAGGGGAGGAAATATATGAAACAGACCAAATTGTTGAGGAAGTAATTGGTTTCTATAAAAAGTTGTTGGGTGAGGTTAATGTTGATATTAATCCAAGTGAAGAGGAGGTGAAGAGGCTTGTTCAAAGGCAAATCCCTCAGGCAGAATGTGAGGCTCTGGTTCAGGACATTACTTGTGAAGAAATAAGGACAGTAGTGTTTAGCATGAACACACAGAAGGCCCCTGAGCCAGATGGGTTCTCTGCAGGGTTTTTTAAGAGGACCTGGGGGATCATTGGAGAGGATGTAATCAGGGGGGTCCTCTTTTTCTTTAACTCAGGTATCCTTCCTAGTGGGGTTAACTCTACTGCTATTTCTTTGCTCCCAAAAATTCCTAATGCAGATACCTTAAAACACTTTAGGCCTATTTCATGCATAAATCTCTTATACAAAATCATTGCTAAGGTCCTGGCAAATATAATTAAGGGGATAATGCCTTTGATAATTAGTAGTTCCCAATCTGCTTTTATTAAGGGGAGGAGTATCATGGATAACATATTGATGGCTCAGGAACTGGTGAGTGGTTATAATAGGCGATTTTTGTCTTCTCGTTGTGCTATTAAGGTTGATATTATGAAGGCATTCGATTC